CTTACAGAGGACACCGGCTCACTCCCCACTTTGATCTGCGCTGGGTGAGACCTGGAGGAGACGCCTGGGACCCTCCACGCTGCCGAGAAGAGAACACCACCAGATGAGGTGGAGACGTTCCGAGTGGGAGGAACACAGCCAAACCCCAGCTGGAAGATCGGAAGTTGTTACATCAGTGCCTAGCCATCGTGCACCGACTGAGTGCACTAGCAGCCACAGCTGACAGGCAGCGGGCGGTCGCAGCACGACAGGGACTGACTCATTAGCATCTGAGAACAGGGTGCAGGTGCACTGGCCATCTGCAGCCTGTCACTAGCTCAGAGTCCCGTAACAAGGCCAGCTCTAGCTCATTCACCGCCAGGAGAAGCTCACCAGGATTTACGGCGCACGCTGCAGAATCGTCCTCGGCATTGACCCTAAGGAAACACCCAGTCCTCTAGGACCAAATGCCACCTGGAGTGACCTCATCAATAAGGAAATGCCAGCCATCACCCTAGCCATGTCCCCTGGAAGGGCTGGAAAGTGCAATGGGGGAGGAGTGAGAGATTGTCAGGGAACCCCAGAAAATCCACTCCCCGGTGAAACGGACCGATTGTGGCCTTAGGGAAACTCAGTAAATTATTCTGCGTGTATCTGGATGAAGACTGCTGCCATATCCAGTCCGCACTGAAAGACAGAGAAGGAGAACAGAGTACTCCACAGTAACCCTTGCAACACAGGAGCTCCGGCGCCTCCCGAGGCTGGGGTGTGCACGTGTGCTGCAGCACGTGTGCGGTCATCCAGGGTCCCGTTCTGTGCGTGGACAGCGCGCACCTGCACCGCTGGAAATGAGCCAGAATCGAGTCCCGGCGACTGCAAAAGCCAGGAGGCAAGCTTGAGAAGCTGAGGGAAAGAAATCACTCCCAAGCAGCAAAATGCATAAAAGTCACCTTTTCAGTGATCTTATAAAGAAAAATCGTACTGTCCCCCAGCCCCTCCCCCCCCACTCCTAATTCCTCTAAGGACTAGTTTTGTTCTCCTTCCTTCCCTTTCCAGGTTGAGGGGGGCTTGCCATGCACTGGGCAGAGGAAGACAGGCGGACTGGGGTGACTGCGGACCGCCCCACCCAGCACCTCCTGGGCGGCGTGGCTGTGAGACCTGCCAGGTCTGTACAGTAAGGCAGGTGTCCCACAGAGCATGCTGCGACAGCGAGCCTTCCTGGAGAGCCGAGTCAGCAGAGCTCTCAGTAACCCTCAGGTGTCTGCTTGTGAGAAAAGCATATTTTTGACAGAAGCTTTATGTCAATTTTACTCATAAGACATTTGGATTTAAAATAAAAATAGCAAATATTACTCGAAAATTTCCGGAACTGTGTGTGTATACACACACACACACACACACACACATATACAATTTTAGAAAATGTCTTAAATGCAGAAAATGACAAATAGTAAGCGCTCACTACCCAGAACTGAACGATTCACATTAGGTACTTGCTTTATTTGTTTCGAATAAGGAGATAAATGCTACACAGAAAAAATTTAACCTTCCTTGTAAATTAGTAGTTCCCTAGAATCAAGCTCTGTAAGCACTGAATTTGTTTTAATTTCTAATAAATGGTAGGTATTTAATAAATCAAAGCATGCGCGTCTTCCCGAAGACTTAAAAATTGAGTTTATTTTCTTCACGTTTCTCTTTCTAACTTTAAGGGTTTTTCTTTTCTTTCTTTCTTTTGCATTGTTTGTTTGTTTTTACTATAGGGTTTGTGCACTCACCAGAGAGAAAGAGTGAGAGGGAAAGTGAGAAGTCTCTCCCCAGGAATGGCCGCGCTGAAATCTCTTCTCCTCTGTCCTCCTCCTGGGATCTTGGGCACGTATGCACCTGTGTCCAGCATGACCTTCAAACCACCAGGTCTGGGACTGAACCATGGTCAGCCATGTGAGGGTCCAGTGCCTTAACCACAACACCACACAGGGCCCCCAGTAGTTCTTTCAATACATCGATAGGTATTTACGTGTGCAGGGACAACAAACAGCTGGTTGCCCACCAAGAGTAGAGCGTGTGCAGTTACAGCTACTGGGCACCGCTCCTGCTGTTCTATAAGCATGGAGGACCCTCAGATAGTTTCCAAACATGGAGCCACTTTCGGCGACTACCACCACGGAATCCCATCATCGATGCTTTGCAAATTCCTGCTTAGATTATTAAGATCTTTTTTTTTTTTTTTTTGAGAGGTTTTTGCTACAGGGCTCATGTGCTCACCAGAATGACAGAAACAAAGAGACAGAAAGTGAGAAATCACCCCCTGGGGGGATGGCCACATCGTAATCCCTTCTCCTCCATTCTCCTCTAGGGATCTTGGGAACGCACGCACATGCGCCCAGTGTGAGTTTAAGCCACGGGTCCGGGACTCAAACTGTGGTCGACTATGTGGGAGTCCAGCGACATAGCCATTACATTAACTGCTGGTCCCTTAAGATCAGTTTTTAAAGAGCCTGGAGTGTCTGCGCCTAGGCGCCTCTACATGGTTCTCCTGATTCTTTAACTTTCACACAAAATGCTGTTCTGAAGGGCGCTAAGGGAGTGGCAGGGAGGAGGAGACAAGCTTTGCCTTACTAAATACTGGCGATTTACTAGAAAATAAAGCAGTTCAGTGCTTACAGAGCGTCCCTCTGACACCAAAGCCCTGGTCATGACAGCTGCAGGTGCCATGCAAGACCGCACAGGGAGCTGGGTCTGCGGGAGCAGGGGGTCGGGAATCAGTCAGGTCCCGCGTTTGCGTCCAAGTATCAGAGTTCACTCTGGGAACATTTCGTGAAAAAGCAAATTTCCACTGGCTCCTGAAAAAGCCTAGAAATAAGCACCACTGCCGCACGAACAACCAGCCCCATTTCCAGACAGCGTTTGTACATTTTACCTTTCCCGCCCGGAGGAACGAGGCACTGTGGAGCGCTGACTACTTCCAGTTCCGGGCAAGGAACAAAGCAGCACGCCTGGCCTGAAGCAGCTCGTCATGAAAAGCAAACACAACAGGAAGAACCCACAAGAAGCCCAACGACCGTCCTCCAAAAGAACAGCCATGGGCCAGACGCACGGAGATGGCATGTATGTCCAAGTCCTTGGCACACAGAGAATACACACCCACGAGCTCCTCTGTTTTATAAAAGAGGACTTGCATGCCGGCCACATCATCCCTGTCAGGACTGCTCCAGCCTGTACTAACTCCCAATCCCTGGGGGGAAGTAGTGGACGCGGAGCTGGGAGCCGGCAGGTCACAGGGTTGTGGATCGGGTGCACCCTGGCTCACGTACCCGTGCCACAGTGTGAAACAGCGACAGGTGAAGCCTCAAGGAACCCTGCAAAATGAGGACACTGCAAGGCCTCCATGGCAGGGACGAGTCCCTCCGAGATAGCAAAATGGTGTGAGGTGGGGGACAAAGGAAACGGATGTGCCACTGCTGTTACGGGAACTGCGACCGGATGCCCAGTATGCCTGAGAGACTCTTCGGCAACAGAGTGAACCCATGTGTCCTTAACAGGAGCACCTAACAGAACCACTGGAGGGAGGCGCAGCGGTACAGGGAGGTGTGTATCCCATGGGGGGCCCGACCTGACGGGTGTGCAGGCCGTCTCAGCCCACCTGGAAATTCCTTTTCTATTTTTTTTTTAAAGAGAGATTTTTGCTATAGGGCATGTGTGCTCACCAGAGAGACAGAGACAGAGAGATAGAAAGCGAAAAATCACCCTCCAGGGGGAACGGCCACACTGCAATTCCTTTTCCTCCATTCTCTTCTCGGGATCTTGGGCACACACACACACATATGCTCTGCAAGTTTTAAGCCACTGGGTCCGGGACTCGATCACAGTTGACTACACCAAGAGTCCAGCGGTGTAGCCATTACACCATCTGCTGGCCCCACCTCTTTCCATGTTTAATAAGCCTGAGGCAAGTAATGCGTTTTGATGAAACCACCCATTTCTGCTCAGCGGCAGAACTGTTAACAGAAAACGTAGAACACAGGGATATTTGGGAGCGTGTACAGGACATGGGGATATTCGGGAGCGTGCGAAGGAATGGAGATATTCGGGAATGTGCACAGAAACAGGGATATTCAGGAGCGTGCACAGAAACGGGGATATTCGGGAGCGTGCGAAGGAATGGAGATTTCGGGAATGTGCACAGGACACAGGGTTATTCGGGAGTGTGAACAGGACACGAGGTTATTCGGGAGCGTGCACTGGGCCTTCTGAGTGTAGGGTGCCCCTGTGCCCTCCATCCCTGCTCAGAGCAGATGTGCTATTCTTGGCAGCAAAGCAGACAGCACAGGTGCCTGTGCACAGCGGGTGAAGGGCGCTGCTCGCACACCAGCTGCGTGCTAATTTGTCTTGTGATTGCCTCAAGCATGGAGAATGACAGACTGGAAGGCTCTTCACACTCCTGGAGCACTGAATCCGCATGGACTGACAGACAGCCCGGGGACCAGGTCTGGCCCGGCCTGTGCCATGCTCAGTTCTGTCAGGTGTGGGTGAGAACCGGCCAGAGAGACGCTGGCCGGGGGCAGTGAGGGGGAGGGTAGAGGTGCCCTGGGGATGCAGGCAAGAGCTCTCTGACCTGGAGGTGCTGGCGTGGAGTCCAGACTCTGCCCCTCTGAGTCCCACATTCTGACAGATCATCAGGACCAGTCGCTGGGACCCACCCTCCTCTGACCTCATGCCTGAGCTGCGAGGCATCCCCTGGTGGGATCAGCGCACTGCTGTTAGTCCTCACGGAGCAACTGGGTCACCATAGGTCAGGATGGACGAGAGAGGAGTGTCAGGAGCAGGGCAGGTCAGCACAGAGAGGGGAGCGCCAGGACCTCGGGGAGCGCCAGGACCAGGGCAGGTCACTGCAGGGGAGGACCACCCCGGGCGGCTGGCCCCACGCTCTGTCTGTCCAGCAGACATGATGAAATGCTCGGCGGCTGCTTTCGCCCAGCGAGTGCTGGGAGCGATGCTCTGGGAATGGGAAGGAGGCCTCCTACCTGAAGACGGCGAGGGTCAGGGACCACAGCACTAGCGGCTTCCTCAGCTCAAACTTGGCCCGCTTGTTCATCAGGTGCCGGCCGCCGAAGATGAAGGCGGCGTAGAGGGCGGAGAACAGGAACGACTTCTTCCTGCAGGACAGACAGGTGAGACCAGTGCTGGGATGCCCCAGACTCGGGGAGATGGGCTTACCCCCCGCCCGCACTGGAAACGCGCTCCTGGGCACAGGCTCCCCGGGAGAGCCCAGGCCACGTGGAGTTCACGGACACCCCCGACGCACCGGGTCACCCAACACGCTCAGACTTGCTACACATCAGGACACACCTTATTTTCTACTGGGGCTTGACTAAACATTTTGAAGTAACGCCAAGGTGCTAAAGTAACCTCGTCACGGACAGGTCGTTCTGTGCTATAGAGTTCTTGTGGGGGGTCTGGTACAGGGTCGGGTTTTAGGACAGACACCATTTAAATCTGCTTCCGCCAGGGCCAGCCCAGGGCCCAGGGGTGAAAGGAGGGGCTGACTCCACAGGCCTGACCACAAGTGGCCCCAGCAGCTTGAAAAAGTGCCGGGTGTGTGAGCATGTGTGCCCCAAATCCTACAGACGGGGAACGGGAGAAAGGGGTCATGGGGTCAGGGCACGTCCGCACACCACGGGGGTGCCGTCCCCCCCTCTGCCAGCATGCACACCAAAAACGACGAAACAACCGCCTCTTCCCAACGGGCCTGTGCGTCCGAACAGCTCTGCTGGAGTGGAATGGCCTTCGGAACCCTGAGACAGAAGCTGCGGGACTTGATTTTCCCGACGTGGGTGGTGCAGGCACTCCTGCGGTGTCTGTGGTGCAGCCCGGTGCCCCAGGGTGCGGATTTCACTGGCGACTCCGGGACCCCATGTAGAGTCATGACCTTCTCTCCACACAGAAAGCAGACATTAGATATATACCAAGACATGCCATGAGACGCAGCTCAGCCCACAGGCACGACTCCGCGTCCATGTACGCTGACCACCACTGTGCGTGTGCACTGCAGCAGCAATTTATTAACGAGATACTGGACAGGTGGTCGTGAGAGACTGCGCACGCGCCACGGAGGGACTCCGAGACTCACAGACTCGGGCTCTCTGCGCTGGAGACTGGTGTTACGTCCGAGCGGAGGTTAAATGGTGGGTCACTGGGGAGCAGTGGCTGTCTGAAGCCCGCTGTTAGTAAGAGGCACGACTGGAGGAGGAGAACGCAGAGCCAACCATGTGCACTTCCCACAGAACTGAATCTAAGAAAACCTCTAAGTCCTGCTTACGGGACATCTGAGGACAAGGTGAGAGGACTCGTGGGCCTGCTCCCGACTGCCCACTCCCAGGGTCATGTCATTGCCACAGGGGACGGTCGTCCTCGGGGAACCTCAAACACAGCAACAGACCCCAGTGGAGTACGCCGGTTCCACTGACGTGCACAGACTGCTGCCCGGACACACGGAACGAGACGCAGGGGGCGAGCTTGGTAAACGTCCGTCCTACATGCAGTTCATCCCATAGAGTTCCCTGCCTGTCCAGCAGGTGCTCAGCAAACGCTGGGTGAGGAGCGAGTGTTCAGTGAACAACGTGAGGAAGTTTCCTTGCCAGTACAGTGGCAGCCGAAGAGTAAGGTACCCAGGAAACCACTGTGATGCGACTTCCTCCTCCGGAAAGACGCGGGCTACTAACGCACTTGAAAGAGAAGAGCCTCGGACAGCAGAGCATTTGAGGAGGAAAGTGCTTTTGGTTGCGTGTGCACACATGTGCGTGTGCACGCGTGTGTGTGTCCCCGTGGCATCATGTTTCTTAAGGGCCAGAGACAGTGACCACCAGCTATCCTCGTAAGCAAGGAGTCCTAAAGAAAATAAGATTCTTTCGGGTTACTGTTGGCCAGGTGACGATGACCACAGGCAGTGGCTTCCGAGAGACTCTCGTGGCACACAGCAGGCCAGAGAGTTTGCCGCTAGGCTGCCTGCCCCTTCACCGAGCGGAAAGCTACGCCCTGCATTTCATTAAACGGTGAGTGCCCCGTCGGAATCCCAGGTCGAGGGCCCTCCTGGGGTAACTTGCAGAAAGGGGGCACCTCTGCTGTGTGGCAAGCGTGAGAGTCCTTTGAGCCCCTTGTTTGGTGACATAGAATGTGTCAGGGAGTAAGAAACCACCCAGCTGGGAAAATACGCAGATGTGCCTTCCCTAGTTCGGGCTTACTGCCTCATTTGGGCCTGGAACGCTCCCCAAACCCGCTCCGTCTCCCGAAAACACACAGTAACTACAAACACCACTGAGAACACGTCCTTGTAATCCTCATCATTCTTCGTCTTACTGGGTCGGTGTAAGATTTTGCTTATGGTTGGATGACTTGGAATTAGAGCCACGCAAGTTAAACAAATGTCTTCAAATAACCCTACCACTGTGGCCCCGAAGGCGACAGTTGTGTCCTCGGGAACACTAAAAGGGTACGAATCTTCCGATGCACTTTCCCTCCGACGCCCTCACTTCTGGAATGAGGGTGCCCCCCCCACCTCCCGTGCGCTCCGGCAAGGCCCACCCGTCCCCGCACGCCTTTCCTGGCTCATCACACACCGTCAGCTCGACCGCTAAGCTGGCCGAGTCAGCCAGCCCACAGACGGGGAGCCCGAGAACGCGGGCACCTTTGAGGAGGAGCGATTCCCGCCCTCCGCGGAAGAGTGCTGGGGCTCAGACGGCATGGCTGCACATGGCAGCCGGGCTGGACCGCCCAGCACTGGCCGCAGCGCCGCGGGGGGGCAGTCTCGCGCTGCGGGTGGCACTTCGCAGGAGGCGGGCTGCCAGCCATGAGGACTGGCCTCTGGGCAGATGCTACTGTAAAGCTGCTCGCTGTTTCCCGGGGGGCCTTCCACGGTGGTGAGACTCGATGCTTCGTGCTAGCTCGGAATTAAACTTCCGGAGGAAGCGTGGTCGTGGTGAAGTGCCGGCTCTTGCCTCTTCCGCTGGGAACTCAGAAAGCTTCGCTTATGGGTGAACTAACTGATTTTCACTCTTGCTTATAGGGCCAGCCCCGGGCCTGGCGGGTAGGGGGCAGGACCCCATATGGCTGACTACAGTCCACCTGGTAATCCTTGGAAGGTAAGGTTTTCTGTAGCACACTGAACAATGCACATAGGCTAAAACTACATGAGGTGCTGGATCCCACATGGCTTTCTCCATGGTTTGAGTCCTAGACCCGGAGAGTTGAAAAGCATGCCAGGCACACATGTGTACATGCCCAAAATCCCGAGGGGAAAGTGGAGAAGGGACTGTGGTTGGCCACACAGGATCCGCTGAGGCATCGCACTGGGTGGCGTTGGCATCTTTCTATGTTAAAAATGAAATTCTTCAGTGGGTCGCATATGTAATATATCAAACCTGGAAGCAACTACATGCCTAGACATTCCGTGAACGACCACGGCAACCCCTCACAGGGAGGCACGTGAGGAGAGGCTTTGCAACCGCAAGGAGAAGGCCTGGTCAGGACGGCACCGCCGTAAGGCGCGCTCAGCCAGGACGCCGAATCCCGCGGTTTCCGAGCTCCCTGCACGCTCAGCATCTCGATCTCACCCCACTGCCCCGCGGGTGCTAATTTAGAGGCCACAGGTTCTCCTTATGTCTATTTTTGTTTTTTGAAGTGAGAAAACCATTCTTTAGTAATCCGGCTTCCCCCGCTCGACACAGCCACCATCAGCACAGGGCCCTGCTGACTGGACGGGCAGGGGACGCGGTGCCCAGAGAGGGTGCGTCCCTCCTCACGCGGGCGCCTTCAGACAAAACTGGGAGTTTGGTTTCCACGTAACTGGAAGTCGAATCTCCAGGGAGAAAATACTCCGGAAATGTTCAAACGAGACAAAGCCACACGTGCGGCAGACGCCGGAGCCCGTGTCCCTGTCTGCCTGCAGCAGCCGACGGCGGCCACCCATCCACGCCGAGCTTCCTTCCCTGCCCCCAGTGCAGCCAGTGCCACTGCGTGGAAGGGCAGTCCCTGCGTAAGAGCGAGCACGGCCTCTGCTCGTCTACGGTAGTTGGAAAATTACCGAGAACCCCTCCTTAGAGTCCGTGGCAACCACCGTCTGACGCTCCCGAGGAGAGGACAGGCGGCCTGAAAGGGGGCCCTGAAGGCTTTGCAGGAATGGTCAGGGCTAGGGACCATGAGCATGGGTCAGGTGGCCCTAACACGCGGGGACACAGGATGGAAGCTCTGGGCTGGCGGGGCCGTGGCCTGGGTGAGAATGTAAGCCACGTGTTGCCTGGCCACTCAGAAAGAGCGATGGAGACCTGGGGGAAGGCCATGGAGAGCCCCAAGGTCTGACCTGGCCGGGGAACGGGAAAGGTTGGTTCGCAGAGAAACCTGGGTACGTGTTCCTGTCAGAGGCCACACAGCAGGTCTCTACGGCGACATCTGGCTGCCCCGCCAGCACCTGCAGCTGCGGGAGCTGTGCTTGGGATGCTGCGAGCCAGGCCATGTCCTCACGGCTGCGGTGCGTCTCAGAGATCCGGGTGGGACCAGCATGGGAACGGTCTCCTGCTCCGAGTCTGCCTGCTTCAAAAAGTTCATGGAACACCGAGTGAATGTATGGGTTTATTTTGGAGTAAAATATTGAAATCCATGCATAATTATTTCAAAATATGCATTTTCCATACACTTGAGAAGCCCTTGGTATCAAATTGCTAGTTCATCGTGACATTATTTCAGGAAAGCTGACGTTTGGTTCAGGGTTCTGACAGTCTTATAGGAAAATGAATTTTAATCCTAAAAAAGGTCCAAGAACAGATTCCGTTTTGACAGGTGTGGTTTAATAGAAAGGTAGCGAAAAGTGGGTCTCGAAGTTAGAACCAGAGCCTGTGGAAGTTCCAAACTCGAAAGAAGGATTAAAATCCACCTGTTCTTTCATGAGGCTGAGTCACTGGACAGGGAGGGAGGGCCGCCTGCACCCCGCAGGGCCACAGTTCACTGGCCGCGTGGCCCTGCTGCCTCAGAGAGCTAGGGAAACCCTGCCAGCAGGCAGGCCGCTTCTGAGCCTTCTACCACATTTGTACCCGCACGGCTTAGGAGGCTTCTCTTTTTTTTAAAAAAAAGATTTTTTGCCATAGGGCATGTGCACTTGCTAGAAAAGAGAGAGAAAGAGAGAGAGAGAGAGAGAGAGAGAAGGGCCGGGGGCCGAGAGAAGTCACACCCTCCCCCGGAAGCGCGGGGGGCGGGGCTGGGGTACACCACAGTGCCTTCTCCATTCTTCCGCCAGGAGTCTGGGTATACAGCAGGTGCCTGGTGTGATTTTCAAGCCTCTGGGTCCTCCCACTGAAACCAAGCGGGAGGCCGTGTAGGGCCCAGCTGCCTTAGTCCCCTCGCCCCCTGCTGGCCCAGGACACATCACTCCCACAGGCTCTGGCTCCATGTCCTCTCCTCGCCCTTCATTCACAGAGTCAAAGCAAGAAAATGATGAGAGCTTTTAGAGAAAATTCTTAATGGAAAAATCTCAACCTTGCTCAGAAAACAAGGAAATTCAGAGCACACTCCCAAGCTCTCAGAACTTGAAAAGGGACTTCACTTCATTTTTAAGTTTGTTTTTACTACCAGGTGTGAAATGGGAGTAATTCTTGTCTTCACTTGCTTGTTGGGCGGATCCCGGGTTCCTCAAAATCACAATGCTCGGGACCAGGGGATGGCATGACAGTTACAGCGCTGGACTCCCACATGGCCGACAGCATTTTGAGTCCCAGTCCTGGAGGCTTAAAACTGATGCCAAGATCCCGAGAGAATGGAGAAGAGACTGCAGCGTGGCCATCCCCCCGGGGGGTGATTTCTTGCTCCCTGTTTCTCGGCCTCTGTCTCTCCTGCAAACACATGTACCCTATAGCAAAAAATCTCTCTCTAAAAAAAAAAAAAAAATCAATCAATAAAAATAAACCATGACGCCAACAGCACTTCCCCCCACAGGCTGCCTCGGGGCAGAGTGCTCCGGAGGGCAGAGCGTATCTGACTCACGGCACTTGGGGCAGGAGGCTGGTGCATCTTCCGGGACCTCCCAGAGCGCCCCTGCGGGAACGTGTGCGGGGCAGCCGTCCTGTGGACCAGCACGTGGCTGCCCGCACCGCGGCAGAGACAGTGGCGGCTGAACGGCCAGCCTGGGCCTTTGCTTCGCTGCTCTCTTACCGTCTCAAGACTGACTCACTAAGCCCTGCGATTCTGAAGCTGTAGCATTCTTTACTTGACTATGCTCACCCAGAAAGGATTCCTGCCAAGAGGGGAAAAAACACAAAAACTAAAGGATTTGACCAGTTTTACTCAAGATACTTTAAGAAGAAAGCATTTTTAGCCATTTTGATGAATTCTAGATGCCTTACTGCTGTAACAACAGTTGAGAAGTATCTACGGGCTGGCCCCGTGGCCTCGTGGTCAGGGGAGCCAGATCCCACATGGCTGACCGTGGTTCGAGCCCTGGCCTCTACAGCTTGAAAAACACACCAGTACCCGTGCATGCCCCAAACCCCGACGGGACGGAGCAATGGAGGAGGGCTGGCTGCGTGGGTGGGCCCCCCTGGGGTGCCTTCGCCCTCTCTCTCCTGGTGAGTACCTGGGCTAGCTGACTGTAAAATAAAAACGTATTTACCCAATACCCACAGGTGTTCCCGACGACCTGAGAGAGGAAGACTGGCCTGCCTTGGAAGGCAGCACCGCCTTGTGCTCCAGGCTGCCACGCCAGGCCGCCATGCCAGGCCGCCACACCAGGCTGCCACGCCAGGCCACGTTTCCGTTTCCTCTGTCGGAGCTCTTACTTCATTCCTGGCCTGTTCTAAGTGTCCCAGGCACCAGGCATTGTGGTACCCGATTTGTACTTCAGAAAACCCATCATTATCTCGACTGTGTCACGAAACTAAAGAAACGAGGTTAAAGAACTCATGGCTAGGGCGCGTGTGCGTGCGTGCCCAAGATCCCGAGAGGAGAATGGAGGAGAGGGGATTGTGGCGTGGCCATCCCCCCTGGGGGGTGATTTCTCGCTTTCTGTCTCTATGTCTCTCTCTGTCTGTCTGGCGAGCGCACACG